GGCCCTGCCTCTGAGTATGTCCAGTGATTTGCTGTCACTTTGTGGGGGTGGGAGTGGGGTTGTCACAGCCTGAAATATTTTCAAAGTGGGGCCCACCCAAAAACAGTTGGAGACCCCCTGCTCTAGAATGGGTTTACTGCCCTTTAGGACAGTAACATTTTCCATCTGGTTCCCTAGGCCGGAGTGTCTCAGCTCACCACTGTCCCAGAGTCCCCCCTGCTATCTAGTCTCGGATTCTGAGAAGAGGCCCTGCATTTAAACACCTGACAGACTCTAGCAAAGGTTGGGGAAGTTACTGTCTTTGAGCTCCGCTCTAGCTCAACTCCCAGATCTGGGCTGGAGCAGAAAACCCTGAGGTAGGTTCTCCAGCCTGGGCCGGGCACAGAGTTGGCCGGAAAGCTTTCGATAGAACAATTTTCCATTGGAAAAGGCCGTTTTGTCAAAAGTAAAATGTTTCAGGGGGGACGTGTCAGTTTTGGTGGGGAAACGTCTAAATGAATTATTTTGACATTCTCATTCTGGGCGCTATTCCTGGCCTTCTGGCTGAGTCCCTTTCTGTGACTCAGTTTCCTCCTGTGTACAATTGGGGTATTGATACTGACCTTTCTGAGGCGCTTTGAGATCTACAGATGAAAAACACCAGCTAGAGGGGAAGGATGGCCCAGTGGTTGTTGGGCACTAGTCTGTGACTTGGGAAACTCAGGCAATTCTCTGCTACACTACAGAATTCCTGTATGGGCTGGGGCAAGTCACTTTAGGCACCTAGCTTCCCTTGAAATCAGTGATGTTGCCTGAGTCTGCAGAGAGCCTGAGCCAATTGCTCTGAAATCAATGGAAGTTACGTGCTTAAATACCTGTGAATTTCTAGGCTTCAGTTTCCCCATCTGTAGAATGGGGGTAATAGCACGGCCCTATCCTGAGATGTGGTGGGAGGATAAAGACATTAATGAGCTCTACTAATGAAAAGCACTGTGTAAGAGCTAGATATCATTTATTGTACTGGCTTTAATGGTGCTGGGCTAAGTCACGGTAGATGGGATCTGATCCCCACGGCCTTATTTTTACAAGTACTGGTAACTTGCAGCTTGCTCTGGAGTCGTCCGAGCGGCTGATTCTCCTCCGGCTATGGCAGCATGCAGCTGATCTTTATGATGGTTTTGTTATACTCATGGGAGGCTGGCTTGAACTCGCTCACCAGCGCATTGAGCTCCTGAATCTTTGCCTCCAGTTGGTCTCTCTCTACAGCGCCCAGGATCGCGCTGAGAATCAAGTCGACACCCACGCCCAGTATCATGCCAGCCACGGCGCCTATCACAGAGGCACCGATCTTGGCCAAGACCATGGTCGTTTGGGTCAGGACTCTGCTCACCACCTGCGATAACGCCAGCTTGATGAAGATCCCCATGGCCACGGTCCCAGCGAGGCCGCTCACCACCGTGGCCACATTGCGCAGAATCTGCATCTTCTTGGCATCAGGCTCCTGGAAATCGTGAAGCTTTCGGTAGAGATCTGGCTCCAGTTCTCTCTTCAACCTTGCATCGATGGCCTGCAGCATGTCTTGGATGGACTTTATGGCTGCGAGGAGTATGTCGCAGTTCTCCTGGACGGTGCCGTTCATGTTCATCTTAATGGGGTGCAACTTGAACTGACAGTGTGTGTTTAAGACTCCAATCAGCTCGTTGGTGGTATCAAAATTGAGCTCTATGCAGTTGATCAGCTCCTGGTGTAACCGCGCCACCTTCTCCCGCCTCGCTGGGTTGTCTGGGTACAGGATATCGCTCCAGGACATTCTCGAGAGAGCTGCCAGGAGAGGAAGAGGAAAGAGGCATTAGCCAGCGCTCCCCACTGCATCCCCCCCTCCCCCGCGCAAATCACAGACTTAGCCAGTGCAGAGACTCAGCTGCCATTAAAACAAAAAAGTCTCCAGGGCCCTGATCGTGAAAGGTCTTTAGGTGCCTAATTCCCGTCAATCCATGGGAGTTCGGCGCCTAAACACCTTGGAGGTTCTAGGGAGGAAGGACTCGGCCAGTGGGTCCCGCACCCCCGAAGGCTTCCCACCTCACCAAACCACGTGGTCTCGGGAGGAAAGTGCAGCGAGGAGCCAGCCGGAGCCTCCAGCTGGGAGAGGGAGAATCCGCCCAGCAAGCTCGGGACTCTCAGCCCCACTCCCCAACAACCCTAAATGGCCAGAGATCCCCCTCGCCCCCGCAGTGTCCCAGCTACTGCCCCAGACACCCCCACTTCTCCCCCCACGTTACCTCCCCACATTCCCCTGATCTCTGTCCCAGCACCCACGCCCTGCACCCCCAAATCCATCCACCCCAGGAGCGCGGCAGCATCCCCCATCTACCCGGCCACCACCTGCCCCAGCCGCGGAGCTGCCCAGTGCTCGGCAGTTGCATGACTTGCTCCCTCCCCCTGCTGCCCGGGGGACCCAGCTGTGGGGCAGAAGCTGCCGTTTCTGGCTGTCTGCAGATTAGCCCATGAAGTAATTTGCACAAAACGCTAGGCCTGGAGCTGGTCGCAGCTGGGCAGCTTTGTTCTGCCTTCAAGGGGCACCTGGGAATAGTTTCATTTTTCGCCTCCTCCCCAGAGCTGGGTGCAGTCTCCAGTCAGGGTCTCCCCACTATCCAGAGGGGATCCCACCTCCCGGCTCCTACTCGCGATTCACCCGTTTCCCCAGCCCAGGGTCGCACTCACCCGCTTAGCCACAGCATCCCCTGGGGGGCTCATGGGCAGCTGGTTCCACAGGACACCTGGGTCCTTCCCAGCAGGGCCGGCTCCAGGGTTTTTGCCGCCCCAAGCAGCCATCCCCGCCCCCTCGCAAAACAAAAAACAAACAAACAAAAAAGCCGCGATCGCGATCTGCGGCACTTCGGCAGGAGGTCCTTCGCTCCGAGCGGGAGTGAGGGACCCACTGCCGAATTGCTGCCGAAGAGCCGGACGTGCCGCCCCTCTCTGGTGTGGCCGCCCCAAGCACCTGCTTGGTAAGCTGGTGCCTGGAGCCGGCCCTGCTTCCCAGAGTTGCAGCTCGCCAGGGTCCCCCTTTGGAAAGCAGAACTCTCCCCCCCCGATCGGTTACAGACGGGGCAGCGACCCCCTCTCACAGCGACCCCCCTCCAGCCTGTGGGTGACCGATGTTCTTTGTCCCTAGACATGGCACCTTGCCAGGGGCTGCATGAATCCCCCGTTGTTGGAGGAGCCCAGTCCGCCAAGCGATCCGGGGGGCTCTCACTGCACGACCCCTGCTCCCATTTGTGCCTCCGCCGATGGGGCGAGTTACCTGCTCGCTGGGCGAGTGGGAAGCCGAGGGGCCGTTCGCCTGGGCAGAGGTCAGCTCGGGTCCGCGGGCAGCACCCTGGCTCTCCGGAGAGGATCCCTTTGCTGTGACGCTCTCCGCACGCCGGAGCGGGGACTCTCGCCTTTATAGGAGGCTGGTCCTTGCTGTCACTTTGCCAGTCAGCCCCCGAGATCCCATTGGCAGCCCCGGAGCCCAGCTGTGGTCAGGAGCGCGGTGCCAGTGGATGTCACATGGGCCTTCAAGTGGCTGCTTCTGGGGCTCACCTGCTGCCTCCTGCCTGCGGCTTCCAGTTCCCCGCGTGGGTTCCAGGACCTCGAGTCTGGCTGGTTTCCAATCCCGGTTTTCTCCTCAGTCACGAGGGGCAGAAAGATCCAGGATCTAATCAGTCCATGAGCCAGCGAGCCCGGCCGGGCCCCCGCTGCGAGCGCCTGCTGCTGGCCCGGCCCGGGGGAATTGCGACCCCGCCCTTTGGCTTGTGCCAACTTTCCCTTTCTCCCCTAACGGGAGCGTTATAAGGAGAGGCGGAGAGCCGGTGTCGTCCGCTCCTTCGCCCGCCGGGACAGCAGTCGCGCCGAGGTGAGAGCCCCCTTCCCCGTCCCCTCTCTGGGTCGCAGCCAGCGCCTGAGCAGCAGCCGGGACCCGCCCCCAGTCTGAGCTGGCTGCGGAGAGCAGGGCCGGCTCTAGGTTTTTTGCCGCCCCAAGCAAAACAATGTTTGGCTGCCCCCCACCCCAGCCCTGGGCTCTCCCCCCACCCGCACTCCCCTGTCGCCCCAGCCCCCCTGGACCCCCAGCCCTAGGTCACTGGTAACTCGCTCCCAGGGCGGGTCATTCAGCAGGAATTTTGGATGTGCACAGAACACAGACAGGATTGGTTCCCATATGGTTACAGAACTGCAGTAAAGTGGAACAATTTTCAGCTTGTGTGATTGGAGGATATCTGGATGCATATTATAAGACTGTCCTCCATAAATGAGGAAAAGTTGAGGTGCCTTTATTATTCTTTTGTTCCACTCTTTGTTTCTATAGGGAATTTGCCAATGCAATATCACTGTCTTCCGTTCAAACAAACAAACAAAAAAAAGGCAATGGCTGTTGAAAATAGCAATTCCAGTCCCAATAACCACTGGGAAGCATTTCTTGCTCAATTTTATCCTACTTTTTCTACAGCAAGTTACAGTGGATCAGTATATTTGATTTGGGAGAAATGAAGTAACAGCTGCCCAAATTGAGCTTGAGCACTCCTGAATTTTGAGGGTGTTCAAATCTGGAAGGCAGGTGCTAGATTCCCTTTCTGAGTATTAGCTATATCTGGAAAGGAAAAGTCAATTTCTGCTTCCATGGCTCAGAAGTGGAAATCCTCCTACGTGCCTGGTACTGTATCTAAAGCTGCCCAGGTCCAGAGCCTCCCCTCCCTTACTTTTCATTTTAAATTCTAGTGGGATCCACGTACCTCCCTTGCTAGGCTTCAGATAGAGAGGGGCACTGTCCCTTTAGTCCACCCAATTCCTTCTTTGGGGGCTGCAAGGTTAGGTCACACCAGTATCCCTAATCCAGGCTGGGGATGTTTTCTGAAGGGGATCTCTGGGGCAAAGCCTTCTACTCCTTGGGCTGGGCACACTTGTCCCCCATTCACAGTGCCACCCCGCTCTAGCAGTGAGCTCTCCACTCACAGCAAGCTGCAGCATGAGGTTTCAGCTACATACTTCTCCCCACCCCTTCCTGTGGATAGCAGCCAAGGGAATGCTGGGAAATGTAGTTCTTTCCCTGCCCAGGGCTGGCTCTATGGGCAGGGAGCTAACCAAGGAACTACAGCTCCCAGGGCTCTCTGTTGGTTCTCAGCTCTCAGGCTGGATCCCTGCTGGCTGCCACCCCTGCAAATGGGCTGCCCCAAGCACCTGCTTGCTTTGCTGGTGCCTAGAGCCGCCCCTGGCGGAGAGCCGGGCCAGGCCCCCCCCCCCGCCCCAGTCTGAGCTGGTTGCGGAGACCCGGGCCGGGCCCCCCAGTCTGAGCTGGCTGCTAAGGGCCGGGCCGGGCCAGTTGGGAGATACAGACAGAACCAAAGTGTTTTGCGGGAATGTCGATTTCGACCCGATCGGTTTCGACGCGGGACACGGCTCTGGGTTGAGTCCTTTCGCTTCGGCCTTTATACGCCACCAAACAGCCCTTTAAATCCCACCCCCGGGATACGGACCAGCTGAGCGCAGCCAGCGCATTGCACCCTTAGCCACAAGAACCTGCTTCCAGCGGGGGGGGACGCAAACTCTTATGGCTGGGCCGGGCCCCCTTTGAAACTAGTTCAGGCTGTGACGACCCCACCACATCCCCTACAAGTGTTAGCAAATCACTGGTCATAGAGGAGAACTGAGTGAAGCCTCTAATCGCCATCCCTGCATCAACGGCGCTGAAGCCCCAGTGGGCATCGCGCTGGCGCCCTCCACCCCGGTGCCTGCCTGGTCTCTTGGGCTGGGCTGGTAAGAGCCTGCATTGGCTTCAGCTCTGTCCTCGTCTCTCTGGCCTGGGTGCAAACTGTCCTACGGCCCTGCTTTGCACTTCTTGCTGCTGAGCTGTAATACAATGAAACCTCGTCCTGCCCGAGGTGTGGGGCGCTGCTCCCCTTGCTCCTGTGCTGCTGCTGGCGGCGGCACTGCCCTCAGAGCTGGGCGGCTGGAGAGCTGAAACCCCCTCCTCAGCAGAGTCCTCGAAATATGGTACCCCTAGAGCTCGTGATCCCCCTACAATAGCCTCGCACCCCCTTCTGGGTCCGGCCCCCCAGTTTCAGAAACGCTGACTTGGGAGTTTCCGAAATGATCTTCTTCAGCGGGCACAGATCACTTCCACCCGGCGTCATCACTGATCCACACCCACGCATCCAGCTGCTGCCCCAGTCTTGGGGACCCTGGGGACCCTCTCCGGGTGCAGCCCTGCCGAGAGCTGGAACCCCCAGCCAGCCGCTGGCCCCCTGGGTGCAATGCAGCCCTTGAGGTTATGTCTGCATTGCAATTAAACACCCGTGGCTGGCCTGCCGGGCTGCAAACTAGCAGTGTAGACGTGCAGGCTTGGACTGGAGCCCAGGTGGTGGGACTGTGCCTGGGGGGGACGGTCCCAGAGCCCGAGCTCCAGCCTGAACCCAGATGTCTACATAGCAGTTTTTAGCCCCCCAGCCTGAGTCAGACCAGATGCCGCTGTTCCACGGGGCTTTTAGTCCAGTGTCGCCGTACCAGAGACTCCCCCATCACTTCGACACACCCTGTCCCCGGGCTCCACCGCAAGGGCGCGCTGCCTCCGGTTCGCAGTGTTGCTCTCTTGGGGCCCGCAGCAGCTGCGAAGTGGGTAACGGACTGACGTGCTTTGCACGCCCCATCTAGCACAGCAGTGCCCCTGTACCTCACCACCGCCGGCAGGGACAGTTCCTGCCTGACAGCCGTTAGTTAGAGAGCGGGGTCATGCCCAGGAGCATGAGAGTGTTTAATCTTATCAAACTTAACAAAAAAGAAATTCTTTTCTAATGTCATTCTGGCTCTCCTCATTAGTCATATAAACGTCAGATCCCTTTCTGGGTCTTGCTGGGCTCTCTGCATCAGCAAGATCATGAGGCAGTGAGTTCCACAGGCAACTCCCAGGGTTGTTGTGAAACAGCATTCCCTCTACTCCATTTCATAGGGGCTCCCTGTCGGTTCCATTGCACATCCCCTTGGCCTTGCGCTGGGGATCCTGGAGGGGAAACTCTTTAAGCCCCTCACCTGCGCTCTCTGCTTTGTTTCCCAGCCTCGCGATGCTGTCCCTGTTCTCCGGCACAGAGAGTGAAAGAGAGAGGCTCGTGCGCGCCAGCCAGTCCCTGCTCGACTCCCTGGAAGGATGCATCTCGGCCACCCACGCTCTGCTCCGCATCCTCAACCAGCACCTTGACACCAGTGTGTCCCTGGAACCGGTGGGGGGCAGCTTCGGCGTGGGGGAGAACTTGGAGCGCCTGCTGCGGGCAGCGTGGGAGATGCACGCCGCAGCAGAGCAGACGGACAGACACGTGCGGAAGAACGCCAGCCGGGACCTGTACGTCCGCATGGCCTCCCCCCACACCTCGCTGCAGGAGAAGGGGGCCATCGTCCGGGACTTCCACCAGGCCACCATGGGGATCTTCGGCAGCGTGGGTGGCCCCATGGCGGCCGTGCTGCTGCAAAACGCCGGCCTCCCGGGGCGACTGGAGGTGGCTCTGCGGGAGGTGGAGGCCTCCCCGGTCCTGCACCTGCCGATGGACGCCCTGCGCCAGAGCAGCGAGGAGATCGCCAAGGCTGTGTCCGCTTGTGCCACCCCTGGGGGCCCAACTGTGGAAACGGCTGCAGAGCCCCCGGAGAATGGCCCCTTCTCTGGGACCGGCGTGGTGCAGAGTCTGGGCGAATACCTGCCCGATGTCCTCACGGGGCGTCGTGCTAGGAACGCCCTGGCTGCGGCCGCTGGGCACCTGGAGGAGGCACTTCGGGCGCTGGCACCGGCCTGCAAGTCTTTCCAGTTGGTAGCTGCCGCGGCTGAGGTCTACATGGCCCTGATCACGGAGCAGCAGCCGGGAATGGGAGAGGGGCCGGGCCAGAATCCTGCCAGCGTCGCCCATTGACCCGCACAGGCAGAGCCGTGACAGCGCCCCCTCGCCGCGGCACACGCACGGGCAGGCTTTGCCCCGGGCTCTGCGCTGGTTAACGAGCC